CATTAGTTGCACAAGAATCTATAAATACCTGTTATTATTGAGAAAGCACCAACATATTAAGGAGAGTGAAAAACAAATGTTAAATGGTAGTGTGAGTTACTATCAATGGATAATATTTGCTAAGAGTACCATCAGACTACAAATCTGAATGTGAAAAAGGAGAATATGATTTTAAGGAGCCACTGGGATACTCCCGAAAATAAAACTGAACTTAACCCAAGATGTACAAATCTCAGTCTTGATAAGAGAGTAAGGATGTGTTCTGACATGGTGTCTAAACTGAACTGTACCAGCTTCACTTTATTTCACCATGCAGTCAGCTCACAACTATCACCAGAGATTTACTCAGGCTATGAATTACCTGTGCCAGGTTTGCACGGACCATACTACTCTGAGGCCGAGCTCAGGTTTGGAAACACAGGCATCTCTGCATTGAGAAGGCACAGCGTTCTCCAAGCCTGGGGCTGCTTTACGTAAAATTGGCTGTAAAGCCTCACCATCCTCTTCCCTGGAACAAACACTGCTGGGTCAGCGCTAACCCTGCCCAGCCTCAAACTGACTCCTGCAGAGCAAGTCTGCTGTCTTGGTGCTCCCAGCTGAGAGCAGGCTTGTAAGGTCAGGTGTCTGGCTGTGCAAATCCACAGTGCCATCTTGTGACCAGCGCTGCAGCCGAGGGAGCGCAGCGCGGCGCGGCCAGGCCAAGCAGCACCCGCGCTGGTGCGGGGCCCATCAACGCTGCCCCATCCAGGGATCTCCACTCTGCACCCCAGAGCTGGTCCAGATTCGCACCCAGTGGGTGCTGAGCTAGGGAGCCCTGAAGTGGCACTTGTCACATCAGATAGGGTCTGCGTGGCACTTTTAAGAGAAAAGGCCGGTGGCTTGTGCTGTCCAGGGTGTTTATGAGCAACCTGGAAAGGGGCAACCAGGGTGGTGAGAAAGTCGGGTGATGGTTTAAAGTTGACCCAAGGTGGTTCAGACAAGAGCTGACTGTAAAGAACCGCAGAGGGACCTTCTGGGTGAACGAGCAACTATCAAAATGGCAGATGAAATTCAATGCAGGTAAATCTGAAATGATGATCACAGAAAAAGCAGTCTCGGCTTCAAGTATAAAATGATGGAATCCAAGTCCAAAGTTGTCACTCAGGATCAAGACCTTGGGAATAGGACAGACAATCCAGCTCAATGCCTAGTGACAGCTGAAAAGCCTGAAACTGAATGTTAGGAACAACTCAGAAAAGGATACAGGGTAATACAGAGAACTTTACTATTTCACTGCAAAAATCCGGGGTCTGACCACACCTTGAACGCTGTGTGCAGCTGTGGCCCTCATCTTATATCAAAGGTACCTTAAACTAGAAACGGTTCAGAGAACAAAGACAGGATGGAGAGTCGTGAAAAAGCTTCTCTAAGAGGAATGACTGAGCAGACTAATGCTCACCAACTGGAAGGGATGACTTTGGGAGAGGAGGGGATATAATAAAATTATGTGCAAGTTGGCGAGCATGAGCGCAGATGAACTGCTCACCACCTCTTCCAACACAGGGGCTAGAGGCCATCAGAGGAAGCTTGCAGGAGCCAGTTTCAAAACGCTGTAACTTCACGCTTTGGGTTGTTGATCTCTGGAACTGCTCACTGAAGTATGCTCTGATGCAAAAGCTTTTAATTGAAAGATACTTGGAAGAGAAATCCATTGAGAGTCACCATGGACAAAACAGATCAGGCTCAGAAAATAACCTGAGCTGAAAATAGTTGGAAGCTGGGGGAATTAATAATCTGCTTCTCCTGTTCTTATTCCTTCCTGAGTCTCTGTATACAGACACTTCCAGAAACAGGACATAGGGTTGGGTAGACCCCGAGCAGAATCAGTACAGCCACTCTTCTGTCTCCAGCATTTCAGGCTGTGTTAGGTGGATGTAACATGGCATAAATACATGGAGCTGTCTTCAAGTCACCGTGTCTTTTCAGAGCCTGATATGCCAAGAGGCATGGTGTGCACATACCGAGAGCCTCTGGGTTCCCTGGAGCTACACAGGTGCCCCTCCATGGGACTTGGCTTCCACCATTACCTGGGGTATTTCAGCTCAGCCCACAGATAAGAAGAATTATTATTTAGGCCCAAAAAAGAAACTGATTTGAGCTGCTGGAAAGAAGAAAACAAAAAGACACATACATCCTGAAGGTAGTAAGCATTGCAGAAACTCATCTCTTGAGAGAAAGACCACAACCAGGCCTGTGCTATACATTGTAACACACATTATATAGTCTCAGTTTCCAAAGGTAAAGTGAGAACCCGCAGCAGTTCCTATACCTTCCCACACTGTTTATATGGTATTCCCTTCTGGTCACAGTACTCGTAGCAGAGGGCTGCACCCTGCACACACAGCTTAGCTTTCAGAGATCCAGGTTTGTAGTAAATTCCACTGTGAATCACACCACTGTTATGTCCACTCTGGTGGTGAGCTAAATAGAAAGAAAAATACGTTATTACAACACATATTCCCATGATTGGTTTATACCTTAATTACTTCAGCTGTCAGAAGAGAGAGCAATTTGAAGTCCTGCCCTAAATCAGCATTACAACAAGAGATGCTCAAATAAGGTAACTGCACAGCAAACACAATTCCTCCCTTGGTCTCAAAAGGCTAGAAAAATACTGACACGGCAAGATCTAGTTAATAATAAACCATCACAGCCTGCAATGTGTTGAATCAACATGAAAAAAAAAAAAAAAATCACGAGTCTTTCCTCCAAGAGCTACAACTGCAGGCCAGTCAATTCAAATCTTCTACATGGTAAAATTAATTTTAAGAAATTCAATTTTTAAGATGAAATTCATCCTTAAAGGCCTCATCTAACATCATGTCTATGCAATCCTCAATTTCTTTGGATGTGCTTCAGGCCTGGTAGGCCTTTCAAGTATTTGTGAACGGGATGAGGTTGCTACTTCCTCTCTGTAACCAAGTATAAAACAGAGGTGAAAAATATCACAAACATTTTTACTGAATTAATTTGGGCAGGTTCTCCCTCTTAATGTATTGACTCCCAAAGGTCATTACTCCTTTGCACTCACACAACTGTTAAGGACTTCACGTATGCCCCATCTTGGTGATAAAAAGCCACTTCATCTCATACATATAACATCTCAAGAGCAACATCTAGCCTGGCCGATGGAGCTATTCAAAGTGAGAGCTTGGGCTCTCAGGTCTTATTTTGCTCTGACATGATCCCTTGGAGTTGCTCCTACCTACCCTGAGCAACAGGCACACCTGCATAAGCACTTGGTGTGAAAAGACCGCTTATGATGAACCTGTGCTTGTACTTGAGTGAGCCAGAGAAGCTTTCAATGAAGCAACACGGCTCGTTCTTTCTTATTTCAAAGGCAGGACAGATGCCCAGGTGCCGAGTGCCTCAAGATTTCCCGTGTCAGCAGGCAACACTGGGAGCTGTGCCATTTTACTCCGGCTAATGCTGGGTCAGAAACTACCGCTATCTTCCCAGTTCCCCCTGTGTTACTTCCTTGCCTTCGACCTCCTGTGCAAATGACAGCACCTTGAACAGCATGTACAGGGATATCCAGAAACACGGGGCAAATGACTGTAGTTTACAAGTTCTGGCAGTTAACAGGCCGGTGTAGACTGCCCAAACCAGCAGCTCCCAGACATTTTTAAGCAGCTCTACTTCCTGACTCACTCTCTCTACCTACCAACCGTCACTGCTGTTCTCTCCTCATGCCCCACCAAAAAGCCATCCTGGCACTATTTCTCAGCTCGTGCTCTCTGCCTCCTGCTCGTGCAGCACCAAACGGGACCTGCCCTTGCCCCTCTGCAACCTGCACTGCTCCCTATTTGAGTCCCACACCCTCCTTGGCCTTTTCCCCCCAAACCCCTGCTGCTGCTGTCCTTGGCTGTTTCCCTCAAAATCCCTGCTGCTGCTGGAGCCCCAGGCCAGGAAGACCCGCTGCTTTCAAACAACGAAGCGACAACGTTCAGTCTTTTCTTAGAGTCCTAAGTCCCAGCAGCGAAACACAGACTGATGACAACTCTAATTCTCCACTGACAGGCGCATCCTTGGGCAAAGAGAGGAAGAAACCCCCGGTCAGGGCAAAGCCTGTGGTGCCTGGAAACGAAGATGCTCGTCCCAGGCTGGAATCCATCGCTCACTTCAGCGCCAAAGGCAGATGCTCTCCCACCCGCAAGCTGAGCTTCCCTTCGCAGGTTATGTTGGTGAAGTAGTGAGGTTTTGGCGAGCGTGTGCTTCCTGGCAGACCGACACCGGGCAAGCCCGAACGCACGGGCGAGGAAGACGCACCTAGCTCCTTCTCCTTCTCCAGCACGGCGAAGGCGAGCGAGGGGTGCCGGCGGACGAGCTCCCGGGCGGAGGCCAGCCCCACGATTCCCGCGCCCACCACCGCCACGTCGAAAGTGCTGCGCAGAGACAGATCACGGGCCGTGAGCGCCGGCCGCCCCTCTCCCGCCACGGCCGCCCTCCCCGCCGTGAGGGAAGCGCTGAGGGGGCGGCGGGGCCCGGGCAGGGCCGCTCCCCGCTCCCGCCCCGCGGCCTCACCTGCGCTGGCGGCGCTGGGCCCGCCACGGCGCCGCGGCCCCGCCGCCCGCCAGCGGCCGCAGCAGCGCCGGCGCCATCTTAGGGGCGGCGATACGCGGCGGGCCGGGCTCCTCCTCTGCAACCCCCTCCGCGGCGGCCGGGGAGGGAGGGACGGGACGGGCCGAGGTCCGCGCCTGGTTCGCCCGCTCGGCTCTCGGGGGCAGCCCGGCGGGAGGGAGGGAGGGAGGGAATCCCGGGGAGGGCGGCGGGGCGAGCGCGGAGGCGGCGGCGGGGGCTCCCCTCAGGGCACCAGCCCCCGCGGCTCCCCCTGCAGCCGCCCTGCCCGCGGGGCTGGCGGCGGCGCGTTAGGCCTTGAGGGGAAGCCGGCTGCGGGCCGCCCTCCCCGCGGCTTCGGGAGCGGGTAACATCCCCGCTTCCCCTCTCTCCTCCCAGAACGCGATGCTCTGGGGAAGAATCGCGCCGCCGGTGCGCAGGCTAAGCGAGCTGCCGCCGCCGGGCACCTGCAGACGCTTCTGGGGATGGCTGAATGCCGTGTTCAACAAGTAAGAGGGATGCGGGGCCCGCGTGTCCCCTGCGCGGGTTGTGAAGTGGGGACCGTTAAGTCCCGCAGCTGGAGAGGATATTTTCTATTATCAGCGCTCTTCTTTTCCCCCAGACCGCGTGTTGATGCGTGGCAGGGGCCGTTCCCTACCTCTTCCTAGGTCCAAAGCTGTGGCCTTCCAGGGGAAGGCGTGTGCTTTGCTCCCCTCCCCAGGGTGACCGAGGCGAGCTGGCAGTGTGGATTCTTGCCTTAAATGCTGGTCTTCCTTTGACCCCCAAATCAATTTAAGCCACAAGCACAACCATGCCACCTTATTCAGAAAAGCACCTAACCAACCCGTCGTTTATAGAGATCCAGCCACATAAGGGTTTCACATTTACTTTTAGAACAATAAAGCATCTCCTCTGTGAAACTCTGCCCAGAACTTTTGCCAGTAGCTAATAGTTTTGCCTTATGTCTTCTAGCTCTGTGGAAAGGGTTGCATGGCTTAGCTGATTGCAGTAACGGGGTGGGAAGCTCAACCAGACATGAGGCTCTTCCAGGTCTCTGCTTCTGTTTTCAGCGTTCCTCAGCAGACTAAGAAAGATATCCTTTCCCTGAATGCACCCAAGGACTTTAACTAATTGCTGAAGTGTGTCTTTTTGAAAAATTGTAATTGTTGAGGAAAAAAAGGCTTCAGGAATGACATTCACGTGACAGACAATGAGACATTTTTATATAAGCAAAATATGTTTCGGAGGCAAATTTGCAGTTGTAAAGCCTTATTCTGGATAGGGAACGGCACTTTTTCTCTCCTTACAGGCATGGAAGGAAACAATCAGAAGGGTTAAGTCAAGCTGCATTTGTATTCTTCCTATTTTTACGAAAAACATCTGCCATGTAAAACAAGTTAAAAAGCCCTTATGCTAGACTGATTAAGAACCAGTTTGCTCCAAATAATTCCAGTAAATCATATTCTTACTTTTTTGACATCTTACCAGGCACGTAACCAAGTGTTTGTTGTGTTGTATTATTATCGTCAAGACAATAAAGCAGCCACGTTACGGAAAGCGTGTGAATGCTCTCCCTGTCTCGGCAGAGTGGACTACGACCGCATAGAAGCCGTCGGCCCTGACAGGGCAGCTTCAGAGTGGCTGCTGCGCTGTGGTGCCCTGGTGCGCTACCGGGGCTATCAGAAATGGCAGCAGGACTACAGCGGCCTCCCAACAGGGCCCTTGGGGAAATACAAGATTGAAGCGATTAATGCCACCGAGTCTTGCATCATGTACAGAGGATTTGACTATTTGGGTAACGTAGCCACGGCTGTGCAAAGATTATACTGAACAGCCTTGGTTCTTTCTGTTGCATCAAAATATGAACAACCAGGTCATTTTCTCATTCCTTAGTAAGATATAGAGAAATATTTTGGCTTGTTTTTTTTTTCCCTTAAAATGACTCTACAAATATTCAGCTGTTCCTAAGATTTTGCTGGAGCTGTGGTGTGAAGCAGAAAGATACTGAGAACTTTATCAGCCCTTACCTGAAGTGACGGTAGACCTAAGGAATTGCGAGAAAGATTTGCTACCTCATTGAGTTCATAGTTAAGTAGTTGGTAGCAAAAAGCACTACTTTAAATATTATTTTTCTTCTAAATCAAGTGATGTTTTTGGTGTCTGTGAAGTCATAATACCACTGGAGGCATTTATGGAGGCCTGGAGGCATACTACTCTGGGCATTTATGATGTCTTCAAAGACAAAAAAATATATTAAGCTCTCAGTTTCTTACAGAATAAAAAGATTAAAAGAGTGTTTCAAGTCTCCTTTAAATAACAAAAAACAAAATGGGGAACAGACCATGTTATTTTTTCATTGGCAGGGGACCTTGAATTTCCTGCATTAGTACGTTCCTAAATCAGAGCCACTGTTTATCACCCAACCTTGTAGAGTTTTTTTGTCACTCGCCCACATCAAAGCTCTTAGACTCTTACCAAAAGGATTCAAACCCTGGAGTTTTCATATATTTGAAGTACTGCAAAGGGACTTTGGCAGTGCATTGTGTGTTGCAGCCCCACCGTGAAAAGGAGCGTGTTGCTGCGTGGGTTTGGAGGCAGTTACTAAATTGAGAATTTAACAACCAGTACAGGTTGTTCCTGGTATTCCAAAGCAAATACTCGTTTTTGTCTTTCCAGATGGTCTTGAACACGTTACAGAAATCAAGCTGCAGAAGTGTATTTACATACAGGACCAGTGTCTGCAGAGGCTCAGCGAGACGAAGAACCTGCAGAAGAGTCTCCTCCAGCTGCGGATAATTTCCTGCGGGAATGTCACAGATAAAGGCATCATTGCACTTCACAAGCTGACGTACGTGAGCTGCTGAGCTCTCCTTGCTCCCTGGTTGTTCCCTCCCTGCAGTTTGGGGGTTACGTTGCCTGGAAGGGCTGAAGTCTGAGTGTTTCTGGGCTGTGTCGGATGCGTGTGGGGACTGACCTGGATGACAGCCTGGCAGGGCTAAGTGTTTCTGCAGGCGTGCTTGAAGACACTCTGGTGGGTAGCTCTGCAAAGACGGGTGGATCGACGCACACACACTGAGGCTGTTGCCAGGGTGTTGTGAGCTGAGAAAAGCCGGAACCCTCCGCTGCGGTCCCTGAATCCGTGGTGATGCTCCTCCCTTCAGAGCTGAGCGCAGCACCCCCCCCGTTTCCGCGGGCGGCAGCTCGTGGGGTGGCGGTTGCGGCACAAACTAGAGCGGGAGGCGCGCTCCCCGCCCCGGCACGGCCTTTGCCAGAGCAGCCAACGCGTGCGGCTTCCCTTGCGTTGGGCGCACGGGGCGGGTTTTGCTTGGGGACAAAGGGACGATCGCCGAGGTTTCTCCTCCTGCCCGCCCTCTGCAGCTGCTTTTCAGGGCAGGCTTCGACGGGGCCCCGTCGCTTGTGTCTCTCCGCACCTCACGCTGCTGCCTGTCACGCCGTTACCTCCTGCTCGCTCTGACCTTCAAGGTCTGAAAGTTCCTATTACCTACAGAAAGTTATTATTAAGGACTTTATTATTTACATTAAAATAACTTGTACTAAATTGCTATTATTCCACGCTACTTAGTACGAAGGAAGCTTCCCGATGTGGGGGTCCGGGATCTCTTTCTGAGCTGTGTGTGTAGAGGGACTGAGCTTATGGTGAGCTAAAAACTTTAAGCGCCCACTTCAGAAAAAAAGCTTCCATTAGAACCAGTAACCTTTTTAAATACTCAAAATAACTACGGTAGAGTAATCCTTTGTCTAATTTCTGTGTCAACAGTTAAATAGTAGTTGCTGACTTTTCTTTTTTAAATATTTATAGGAACCTTGAATATTTGTATCTGAGTGACCTTCCCGGAATAAGAGAGAAAGAAACCACTGTTCGCATCCTTCAGCAGGCACTGCCAAACCTGGAGCTGGAGCTGGATCTGGAATAAACACAATTGCAGATAACTGAGATGTATTTGAATTTCTGTGTTGCATAAATGAAGTTGTAGACGCTACTGCATTTCCAGGTATGGAGATAAGCCCAGATCTCCCAATCCAGCCTTAAAAGCCGGATGCAATCTTTTATGCAATTAAATTTTATTAAGCTTAAACTATATGGTGAGTCAACAACAGAGAAGGTAGGCTTCTGTGCATAGTAATTTTTGTTGTGTTTTTTTGGAAGCTGTTAATACATCAGTTAGAAGTTTTCAGATATTTTACGGCACAGAAATTGTGCAAAACGACAGTGGGCGGAACGGCGGTGAGCGAAGCGGTGGTGCTGTACGCTTGCATTGCAGGTTGTTGGTGAGAGCTGCTTACTCCCCAAGAATCTCGCCCAGTCAGTGGGTCCTGATTGAATAAAACAGTTTGTGGGCCTTTTTTCTGTTCTTGACGTGGCCTTCGCTTGTTTGGAACGGAGCCGACCCCAGAGAGGCAGCCTGGCCTGGTAAACACCGAGCTGAGCGCTGCTGTGTTTGAGCAGGAGCAGGTCTCTTAGGCCCTTGCACATGTTTTTGCTGCATGCTGACGGGCTGAATCAGTTCTGTGTTCCTCTAGCTGCATCCATATCGCTCCTGTGAAATTAGAGAATGACTCATCCTGAGGAAGAATACAGCATTTTTAGTGAAATTCCAGGCTTGGCTGGCAGGGGCGAGAAAGGCGGTAGGCAGCGACCCCGGGAAAGCAGGTTTCAGAGTAATGTCTTGGACACGGCTACCGCTGCGTAACAGTCTCGTCTCTCGTCCTCTGAAGGGAGCGAGGCCGGGCGCCGGGAGCGATAACGTGGCTGTGGCACGGGGCTGATTCTTCTTGGTGCCTCCTGGGGACGCTGCAGAGAAGTGACATTCCCCGGAGGCCGTGCCCAGGAGCTGGCTGCCCGGCCACCCCCCGCGTCGCAGGCGCTGCGTGCGCAGCGTTAGGGGCCCGAGTGGCCCAACAGGAAACACAGAGCTTCCTGAGCGTAACCCAAACCACCTACGGACACGGTGTTTGAGATGAAAAATCAGTTATAATATGAAATAAAAGGTAGACAGGCACGCTCTGTGAGGATATGGCGTATGTCCCATTGAAATTGCTTTAACTCTTGTAGAACACTGAACGCTCCTGGAAAAAAAAAAAAAAAAGGTTTGTGCTCTAGTTTTCAAGTCGAAAGGGGATGTTGCTTGCCCAGTAGTAAAACTATACAGTAAAACACACCCAGTAAATTGGAAAAACAAGCTACGTTTCTTTTATTCAAAATCAACACAATATTACATCCTGAGATTCCACAAAACTCAAGAATCATTCTAATACATATACTTAGGTAGAATTCCTGCCTGTGTCTGGCCAATGTTATAAATTATATTAATGAATTCTTTTTGATAAAAACAATTTCTGTAACGCTACAGGCAAGTGACTTCACTATCGACAGAAACTGCAAGAAAAAAACCCCACCTCCTAATGCAAGGAAGCAACAGGCAGATGAACCTCTGAAAAGCCCAAAGAAACAACCGGGTTTATTATTAAAATGTTCTGCTGGTAACAGTGCCAGCGGAGCCTTCCGTTAAGTTTAAGTCACTACCAGTACTTCTAATACTTTGTGATCTGTAAATGCAGTAGGTGAGACTCGTATCTACCGCCCCGCAGAGCCCCGTGTCCGCGCCCGCTGTTCCTCGCGGGATCCGTGACAGCCCCAGCCTAAAGCGCCTCTGCTGTTTGACACAGCGGGACCCCGAATTATTTGGCAAGGCTGCAGTCGTTCTGCCAAGTCTGAAATGCGGGTGGGAGATCGGCCAGAGTTTTTAAATTCACGCTGTAAACACAGGGTTGTGGTAATCCTGAACCAGTACACAATCACGAACCAGTAGACAATCACAAATTAAAGCAAAATAAATGTATTTTCCTTTGTACACAGAACACTGACTAACACGAGCTCGGAGTTCCCTCTGTGCATCACTTCCCTTCCCGACCCAGAGTACGTTACTTTACAGACCACTTTTGTATACGTCACAAGATGTATTTAGTTTTCCACCATGTAGCCTCCTTTTATAAATTCTGAATGACTTGAACTTTGAACAGTAAATTTAAATTTTAATCTGCCATCTGGTTAGATGTTGGGGAAGTGGTAGTTTGATTTCCTTGTTTTGCAGCAGTACTTCTTGCTCTCCAAAGCCGGCCGAACGTTACTGCTGGTTAACTGAGGCAGGTACTGTAACTAAAGGAAAAGTTACATAGTGTATATTATTTGTCTGAAATGAGAACAAAGCACACATTTCATTTGTCAGATGGAATATAAGCTATGAAACTATTCATGCTGTAACCCTGTACTTTTCAAATTAAGAGTCGGATCTGGGGTTCTGCAACTGGCCGGCAACCAGAACAGCTCATTACAGGTCTTTCTTCCAGTCATCCAGCGCAAGAAAAATATTTCTGTTATATCCTGTGTCATAGAAAGGGAAGAGGCGAGTCGGTTTGATCCCGGCGCTGAGGTGCCGTAGCAGTTCCCCAGCTTCCCTGCCCGTTGCCAGCTCAGTGCCAGAGCTGCCGTGGGGAATGTGGCTCGCGGGAAGAAGGAGCTGCTGAACGACGCTCACCCCCCCAGGCTTTGGAGACTTGGGCTGGAGTCTGGAAAGACTGACACGGCGGGGAGACGTTCGCTTGGCCTCTCCCGTTGCAGAAACACCCAGCGCCTTGGTAACGGCTGGAAGCGAGGCAGGGGTCCCATCCCCGCGGCAGTTACAGATGGAGCTGGGCATTTTTGCCACCTCCATGGTTTGGGATTCAAAAGCACCGACAAGATCCCAGAGAACTCCAAAGGAAACCAGCCGCACGCTTTGTGCAGCTCCCCTGCTATTCTCTGCCAGGAATGCGCGTTCCTGGATAAAGCCCGTCTCCCGCATCGCCGCGCTGCTTATCCCCAGGGGCTCAACGGCGCTGCGGCGCAGAATTCGGTTCGCACCGAGTTACTCGTTAGCCAGGAGGTTCATTTTCTCCTTGGGCTAAAATTAAGATTGGGCCAACCCAGGAGTCGTTAACTGCCAGCACGAGCCCAACCTCCCCGGTGCCAAACACAGAGGACCAGCCCCCTCCTCAGGCACAGAGCATTAAATATCACTAGGAAAACGTTACCCCTGGCACGTGCTTCCGAGCCAGCCTGGCTGGTTTCTGAGCCGTTTTTCCATGTTCTTTCCCCAGATCTGTTGCCTCCCTAATGCTGTCAAAATAGGGATGCTGCAGCAGCTGCTCACAGGTCTGCCTCTCTGCAGGGTCCAGGCGAAGGCAGCCCTTAGAAAAGACGAAGGGTCACACAAAACACTTGTTAAGCAGGTCTGCCCAGTTCCAGCTGCTCACCACAGCCAGCCAGTACTCGCACAGATACATGTGTTAATTTTTTTTTTTTTTTTTTATGGATTCTAAGAGTGGCTTTTCAGAGTCAGTAGGAAGCTCACAAAGCAGCTAATACTGAACAATCGCCACAAGGCAGTAATAGAAATTGCAGCCACAGGGACAGTTACAGCTGTATGGTGTAGCAAACCAACAAGCCTCCAAAAACCAGTTAAGCCCGTAACTTCCATTTGAACGACTTTCTTAAACAGGGGAATCCACTATGGCACTAGCTGTGCTGTTCCAGTGTTTAGCATAGCTAATACCACAGCTCCACCTTCTCTTCAATGTCTCCATCCTCACAGTTTCCATTCACTGCATCTTAATAAGGGAATAATATGTTTTCCACCTCCACGGCAAAAATGAGTGGATTAGAGAGAAGTGGATTACAAGTCCTTTCCAAATCCCCTCTAGCTCTGTTTTTCAATGAATCTCTGCTAAGTCAGTAGCCAACTCCCAAACCATCCACCAGCTGATAAGCAAAACAGATCGCATTTGCTACATCTCAGTGCACTAGCTGTAGTTCTCTTACCTTCATGAGAGCTAAAGCAGAGTATGAAATATGAGGGAATTTCATCTCTAACGGCTCCTGGAGGGAAAAAAAAAAACAGTGAGTGTACTCATATTCATGAGCTTTTCATTCATCAGGGTACAGAGAACCAGCTTTCCATAGCAACGGGACCTGTACCTCCCAAAATGCCGCTGTCACTGCGTGTGCTGGGGGGAGCTGCCTGGCATTACTGAGGATGGGTCACTGGCTGCTGTGCCAGCAGACGGGGCGAGAAGGAGCAGAGATGAAGCATTTGTTTGACAGCTTTTACAGAGGGAATCGGTTAAAACGTCGTGAGAGGGGATCAGCCCCCTCTAAATAATATTCTAGTGTACATCGGCAAAATAGAGGGCAAAGCTTTTGGAGAGGGGAAAAAATGCTGCACAGCAAAGGACTGGTCAAGCTGAGCAAGCGAGACTTTTCCAGTTCTACTTCCAAAGCAGACAGCCCGGGTACTCGGGGTAAAAAGAAGCAGGAACATTTCTCTGTCCAAACGCCGCGTCTCCTTAGCACTGCGGACAGATTGCTGGTTAGCGCGAGGCTTGAGGGAAGTGCGTCTGGAGGGAGCTCTTACCATGCTCTCTGGGTCTGGAATTCTTACTCCGCTGAAGAACTGGTTGGTGCTGAACACCTGCTGGTGCCTGGGAATGAGATCCCCTTTGGCCAAGAATAAAAAAAATCAGCATCAGGTTAATCTGCTGTTTTTACAGTGCCTGCATTGAACAAGCTTATATCCTCTAACAAGGCCGACACTGTCCTAGAGAACATCTAAAGAGATGGAGTGCCATCAAAATACTCTTCTGTGAAAACTAACGTCCATCTAGGACATCAGTGACCCCACAGCTGTGTCACTGTGCTGAGTGAAAAGCGGGGCCGCACAGCCCCCGCCACCGCAGTCGCAACCACCTCATGCTGTAAATAACTCAAAGAAATTCAGCTGGTGGGAACAGGCTTTGGAGCAGGAGTACCCAGCTACTGCGCACCTTCCAGGCTCTGGGTTTCTGTGCTGTGCAGCAGAGTGGCTTTTATGAACTGTGGCCACTATAGCTGAGGGCCTTGAAAAATACATATTTCTATACACGTCCCCATGCCAAACGCCCAGATCCTATCGCTGCGGTATTTGGGTAACTGCAAATTTGGATTTCCGCTTGCAGCCAGCCCCCCGGGTAGAGCGCCAGGGAACGAGGTGGGCCAGGCACAAGGTTGCACAAACGCCGTGCCAGCACCCGTACCTCGGCTCTGCGCTGGCCGAACGGACGGAGGGTCTGCGTGTCCCTGAGCGGGGGGAACGCCCCCCAGCATCAGAGCTAGAGGGTGCTGTGCCAACACCTACCAGGGTGCCCCACTCCAGCCCTGCCACAGCGCTGAGCTGCAGCCCCGCTGCCTTCCCCGAGTGTTAAACAAGAGCGGGCCAGCCGCCGACTCCCCGGCTGGTGTCGGCTGGGTCGGGCCAGCTCTGGGCTCTGAGGTGTAACTGGCAGGAGCCGCTGTTTGCTCCGGAGGTGGCCGCATGGCAGCGCCGGGGGGGCTCTGCTGCCGTGCTCTGTTTGAGGGAGGGTGAGCCGGGCTCTCCGCGCCGGTGCTGTGCTGCAGCGTTTTCAAAGGAAAAGGGTTGCCAAGGGGCAGCCTGGGTACACGAAGAGTTGTGTCGTCTCTGACTGCTGGAAGGGGACAGGCTAACCACGCCTGTTCCAGCTTCATCAAAATCTGACTCGTATCGGGTGAAATTCCTTTTGTACACTCCCGAGGGTGTTGTATAGGAAAGAGCTGAAATGCAGCACCAACAGGAACACACTTTAGCTTTTTCTCAGTCCACTTTCATGGCCCTTTTTAGAGGCTTAGGGCAGCTCAGAGCAAGCAAAATGCTAAAACCAAATCCGTAACAAAAGAGCCAGTACAATAGCCAAACCACCACAATTACACAGCTTTGACCAAGGAGCTTTTCTCTGTAAACATTGCCTCAGTCCATCACCTGGGTCAAAAGGGAATTTCTTCTGGCTGAAACCCTATCATTAAAAATAAATTATAACTCACCTAACACTGGCATAAATGTATTCTGGAGGATGACACAATTGACACTGAACTATCTATTTAGCTAAGGAGCATATCTATTTAAAACCATTAGTCACCTTTATAGTTTTATAAACTGCTTGGTAAAAATTACAATTCTCAGTTCATTCCAACAAATTTCAGTTAAAAGTGGGGGGTTGTTGTTGTTCCTTTCCACTAGAGAAATCAGATGTTACATACCAAGATCAAATAGAATCAAGGAGGCTGGGTTTATTTGTTACATGGATAATGACTCTTTTATTCAGCCTCTGTGCCAAATCCAGAGTGGCTCCTAAAATTCCGTGGTGAATAAAGACAAACAAGTGGAACAGACAAACCACTTCAATGTCCACGCTCTCTTTCCCGAGCACACAGCCATCGACAGGCACTGGCAAGGTCTACGGGACCTCCGAAGCTGTGAGGAACTAAACCCAACTACTTGCTATCTAAAAGCAGGGCCCACTTTGCATGGTACCAAACCCTGAAAAGTACCTGGATCTTTCAAACTTTTATGTAAAACATTCCTGGTCCTTCCTGCTACAGGCACCTCATTTTACTGTCTGTGTGGAGACAGCTGAAGATGCGGGCAGGCCCGCACCAGAGGCAGGTGTCTGTGTGCTCCCCACGCCCCGGCAGTCACCGAGCCGCCCCAAAGGAGCAGGAGGGGCATGCAGGGGGGGCACCTAACACATCCCACATCTTCCTTAAACTGCTCAGCGCCAGACCCAGCTTCACAGAGGGAGCAGGAGGGTGGTTTCAGGCAGTTTGCAGGCAATGACCTTGCTGACGCAGCCCTGCGCGTTGCGAGTCTCTCAGCTGCAGCCCGGCACTGCTGGCTCATACAAGCCGAAACCGATTCCACCCCACTGGTCTTTTTCTGAAGAACAGTCACCACCCACGGGGATGCCAACTTCATTTCCTCAGATCCTGCCAGGACCTGCAGGATCTTTTACTCCAAGTACACGATCTCCTATCAAGATGTGCGTGTGTAAGTCATGCCAGGAAAACCCAGCTCCCTTTTAAGGACAGCAGCACCTCAAATAAACCAGCACCCACTAACGGGAGAGATCCACTGGGTAAATTCACCTCCTGGCTACTCCCAGTTCCCACCACAGAGGAAAAGTCCTCCTGGGCAAGCTCTAGCCCTGCCAGAGGCATCGGGAAGGCCAGGGCCCTGACCAGTGCAGAGGGGACACTCACCCAGGGTTCTCCGGATGAGGTACAGCTGGTCAACATCAGACTTGCCCGGCCACAGAGGGGCCCCGGAGAGCAGCTCTGCAAAGACGCAGCCTATGGCCCACACGTCCACGGGAGGGCCGTACTGGGTGTCTCCCACAAGCAGCTCCGGAGAGCGGTACCACCTGGTAGCCACATAGTCTGTGTAATAATCACTCGGACCAGCTAGGTTGGGGTCAGGAAGGAGAGAAACAAACAGGAATGTGGGATCAGAATGATGCAGACGAGCCACCATCAGCTGTTACACATGTTGGGGCACCTCCTGGGCAGGCAACAGCTACAGGAACAGGATGAGTCACTGGCCACTAGCCGAACCCAACTTCGGAAACATTTCAGATTTGGCAAAAATCAAGACCATATTTTTCTCCAAGTGAGAATATGCAGAGCTCCACAGCAGGGCCCTGCACCAGCCAGTGGTCAGTTCTCAAAGCCCACGTGATTTGTCTGAATAAAAGCTAAAACAAAACAAAACAAAACAAAACAACAAAAAAAAAAATTAGGGGGTTTATTTACAATGGAAAATGTGAAACCACTGTTTGCAGAGACAGAGTCTTCTGCCAGAGGGGCTCCTCCTGCCAGGGAGCTCCAGCTGTGTCTCCTGCATTGCATAAACAAGGGCTGGGCAGCTCCAAGATGCCCAAGGCTGACTTCCATCTACCAGTGCCGCCACCACCAGCAATCCAGCTGCAGCAGCAGGGAGCTCGGAGTTTGTTTACAGAGGCACTTGGCAATGCGGTGTCTGGGCGAGCTCCCTTTGAGCTGGTCTGGGGATCTCTACCCAGCCTTCTTCTGTGAAAACACACCAGCCTTTATATAGGAGGATTTACACGTGCATCAGACAAAGACAAGCGAATCTTTAGTGGTGTTTGAAAGCTTGATCCTACGCTTCATTTGAGCTTTCACGTCGGCACTCACTCAGTATGCGAGCAAATCCGAAGTCACAAAGTTTGATGACCGAGTGCTTTGTTATCAGGATGTTTTCTGGCTTTACATCTCGGTGGATGCACTGGAAACAGAAAAAACCAAGGTGTTGTGGTTTGAGCCTGATCGGCAACCAACCCCCGCAGCTGGTCACCCTCCCTTCCCCCTCCCCACCTGGGAATGGGGGAGGGAATTAGAGGGAGACTCGCAGGCTGAGATAGGAACAGTTTAATAATGGTAATAAAATGAGAACAGTAATAGGGAAAAAAAAATATATAAGCAGGTAATGCACAATGTAATTGCTCCCCACCCGCTGACCAATCCCCAGCCCGTTCCCGGCCAGTGACCCCGAGATACCAAGATCCTGCAATCACAATCCTGGAAGCGAGAGAGCTCCTTCCCCACCACCCCTCCTCTATACAGTGAGCATGATGTTCCATGATATGGAATATTTCACTGCCCAGTTTGGGTCTGGTGCTCTGGCCGTGCTCCCTCCCTGCTCCCTGTGCCCTTGCGCATGGGCAGGACATGAGGAGTCGGAGAGTCCTCGAAGTCTCAGCAGCTGCTGAGAACACCAGTGTGCTATCAGCATTCTTCTCACACCAAACCCAAAGCTAAATCCAAACCACCTAGTCCCCGAAAAGGAATATTAACTCTATTTCAGCCCAAACTAGGACACAAGGTTAGAAGCAAGTATTTAACCTAGCCCTCAAATAAATTCAGCCACATACCCCTTGCACATTGTGCCAGGCAATCATTCCTGCTGAAAGAGAAGATAAAAGGATTTCTTAACAGTAGCTAGAGCCACGTCCTGCTGGGCAGGACAATTACCCTGCCTCTACCCCACCTTTGGGATGAGACACTGTGCAGGCTCCCCGCCTCAGCTGCACAGCTCTGTATCACTTGGACAACACCGTGTCAGCTCCCCAGAACCAGCTGGGAATCTGCCAGCAGGAGGAGCGAGGTTTGCACCGCAAGGATTGTTGTTAACCTGGCTCCTCGCAAATGCAACTCGCTTGATACAGCTGTGTGTAACACACTCCTAATAAGGAACTCTTTTTCACAAATATGTGGGGAGATCTTAATGAGAGACGTGTAGGTCACCTGAGCTTGGTTCTTGGATGAAGTCCATGAGCTGTATTTACTGACCATCTAGTAGACAAGCAAATGATTTTGCTGGCAAAGCTTACAGATGAGATGAAGGTTATGGTTTAGATGTGGGACTTTATCCCTGTAGATGCCAGAGCATGCCTGGTGTTCCCTCTATGCAGCACAGGTGAGACACATCCAGAGTTGTGTGTCCAGCTCTGGGATCCTCAGTAGAAGGAAGACGTGGGCATACTGGCATGAATCCCGTGAAGGGCCCCTAAAATGATTAAGGGATTGAGGTATCTGACATCCAAGGAGAGGATGAGGGAGCTGGGACCATCATTCAGCCCGGAGAAGAGAAGGCTCAGGGGGGATCTTATCAATGTGCTTAAATACATGATGGGAAGAAGTAAAGAAGACTGAGCCAAGCTCCCCTCAGTGGTGTCCAGAGAAAGGAGAAGAGGCCATGGGCACAAATTGAATACACAGGAAATTCCATTTAAACATAAGCAATTTTTTTTTTTTTTACTAAACAGGTTGTCTAGAGAGTCTGTGGAGCCTCCATCCCTGCAGATATTCAAACCCTGGCTGGAGATTCCGAGCGGCCTGCTGTAGCTGACCCAGTGTGAGTGGGAGGGCTGGACTGGATGATCTCCAGACGTCCCTTCCAACATCAGCAATTCTGTGATTCTTGAGAAGTCACCTTGCCCGCTGAAGGTTCACAACCATTGAATTTGGGCTTGGGAAACAGTTTCTGCTGATCGAACTAGCAGAGACCTTAACTTCTACTTCTGTGTGAAAAGCTGTGCTCTACTGAAATCAACAGGGACTAGCTCCCGTTGTCCCTCCCCTACCATCACCCCAGCACAAACACCTTGGACTTTTCCCAGATAAGGTGGCAGTAAATTATCGTGTCTCCTCTTGAGGACTGAGATGCTGCTTGTTAAACCTGTGTCACGGGGTTCCAAAAAGGGCAGCTGCATAAAACTTCATTACCTGTGATCTACAGAAGGTCAGACTGACACATCTCATTGTTCCCTTGGCTTTAAAACTCCATTAAATCTTTCAGACTGAGTGGGGGAACAGAAAAAAAGAAGAAAAACAACAAATCCTGGAAGCAGGATAGACCTATGGCCAAGTTCCTGTGGCTCAACTGGACATAATTCTCCCAGCAAAGACAAAACACTCATTCCAGAGTGATCTGCCCAACTCTTAAATCTCAAATATTGGCACATAAACAAAAACAAAGACAATTACAGTTAAGTTTGCCTAAATAACTTTTCCAAAAGGCTCCTTTCCCTCCCTGCTTCTTAAAGCATCCCCACTGCTTTCTACAAAATATTTGCTAAGCACATTTCCCTCCAGAAAACAGAGGAGGGGTTGTAAAACTGGTTTACTGTATCTCATTTTTGAAACCTTTTAGCTGGTAACATGATTCAATGCCTACCACTATCAACAGAAGGACTTTCTGGGAAATCAGTAGCAGTTTGCTCAGGTCTCAGCTGATTAGATGTTAAGCCAGTTTTCTAAATGTCAGTTCTAATGCATGGCACTGAGAACATACAAAGATGCATTCCTGTTCAGCCTGGAAGCTTGTCTAAGGTCATTAGTGCCAATCATTCCTTGACAGCAAACCCAAGGGACCTGTGTGACAGTAAATGCAACTGTTGTGGGAATATACTAATATTTCAGATATATGTTTCCTGTTGAAAACAGGAAATTTCACTTGACTTTGTGCCATGAAAGCTCTATAATCCTAAAAGCGTAGCACAGTCAGAGAAGTCAGAGTGCAAACTGTTGCCACTCGCACTAGGTCTCCCTTCAGCCCTGATGGAGATATTAAACACCAGCCAGGGAGGCTGGCAGCAAAGCCTTGTAGTTTTGTTTGTTTGTTGTTTGGTTTTGTTTGTTTTTTTTTTTTTTTTTTCCCACTTGGTTGGAAACAGAAGTGCTGGGGTACTAACAGGCTGACTCCTGTTCTTACCTTTCCCATCAGAGTGGTTCCAAAGAATGTTTATCAATAAGGTAACAGGTGCTTTGTATATATAAATATAAATATATATGTATAAAATCAGGAAAATGAAAACAGAATCTCCTTCTCCTCCAAAGCCACGTTACAGCAATTGTTAGTGGTGTTTAGGGGACTTACATTGTGTTTATGGCAGAAGTTCACAGCTTGGAGGGTCTGCCATGTTATGCTCTTCACTAGATGCTCCGGCACTCTGTTTTAAAAAAGCACATTTTTAGAAGAAAAGAAACACATAATAACCCTCAGTTCATTGATTGCCCACTGCAGGAAACCAGTCAGGCTGGGCTGCTGATGGTGGAGGCTGTTAGTACCTCTTCCCATATTTCAGAGCTGAGGCTGAGCTCTGCCTGCACCTCCCTGCGCAAAGCAATACTCTCCTGTGAGGTTACCCTCCAAGCATCGCAGAGGCATCAAAGGGAACGTCAACACCACTTCCAAATCCAGCCAGTGCAACAAGATATATGGATTTATGGCAGCTAAGAGCATGCCAGAGTGTCTGGTACCACTCAGTCACAGCCAGCATGAGGCCTGCCAACTGGTGACCACACATCAGTGCGTGCAAGTCCGTGTCAAATCCCACCTTGTGGCTGTGCTTAGCATCCACGCTTCCTGGCAATCCTCCTGAAACGCCAGCAGGCATTTCTGCCTCTGCAACTGCTCAGGGAGTTGGAGGTGGTGGGGCACCCGTGGTATGGATGCACGCTCTGACTTGCAATGCTCCCATGTCAATGATTGTCCAGAGTAGAGAGGTGACCAAAATCGGACAGGGAAGGACATTCCTACAAGACTATAAAGCTCTACTTTGGTTTGCTTCTCCTCTCTTTCTCTCCACCAGCTGGCAAACACTTCAGAGAAAGAAAATCCCTGTTGAAGATCCAGCCTCCTCCCCTCTCTTTCAGTTACTTAAACTTCCTTGGCTGGCTGCAATGGTCTTCAGCAACCCCAGGGAAAGCAGAGCTGACAGTCCTGGCACTTTCAAGCTCAAATTCAATTTTATGTGTTTAATGCTGAAAAGCTTCTGATTCATCATAAAGAAAAAAAAAACAAACCCAAACCCACAAACTAACAAAAACTATACCAAAACAATATGCAGGAAGCCTGGCTTTTTCTTTAAGGCACCTTCTGCTGCCAGTGCTGAAGGTCTTGTGCTGACATTGCTGTGGCAATGCTAGTTTCCTTGCAGAAACACCCTAGACTGGTGAGAGTGCTACACTGACAGCCTGACAAGGGGATGAACTTGGTTAAATGACCTGGAAACATGGTGCAGCGAGGCGTGTGCCCACCCATCTTAATCCTGACCACAAAAGTCTTGACCATCTGCTGTAGCAAAGATCAAAAGCAAAGTAGGCAACCAGGCGTTACACATTCGTTCACACTGGAGTTGTTCTGATGAACAGAAAGCAAATGCGAAGTATTTTCTTCAACGAGGGTTATCCATCCTCTCTTCAGATTCCAGGTGAACAGATTCAAACTGGTGTGAAAGCTGCTCACCAGCTCACAAAGCAATCTGCTATCAGCATGCTCCATTCTCCTTCTAGAGCTCCACTTCAGGGAGAAAGAGAGTAACAGGCTCTTGTTTACTCAACCCCCAATTAGTCTCCTGCAGGCAATTCATTTAGCTCCAGGCCTGTAAAATGATTTATGAACCTCTGCTTAGCATTTCCACACCACCAAGTCACTGTGAATAATCAGGGACAATGTATTTAGTGGGGGTGGCATTTATAATGTGTCAAAAGAACAAACCCTGCCCTGGAGAATGTTCCTTCTGCCCACGTAGCTCACACTTTGTGCAAGAGCCTGTTTAAAGAAGAGAGTATCTGACATGAGGCTGTGCAGAGAGGTGCAAGCATAGCTCCTGGTAACTCCTGCCAGAAACATACTCCTTAGCACCACAGCATGCCAGAGGGCTTGAAGTCACTGGTCTCTCACACATCATCAGTGACATCACTACAGATGTTTTGGGTGCTCAGTGATGCTGCCCCAGTACCCACAGCCCAGGTCTGCACAGCCTCCCCCAGCGATGTGTGACACACCTGTGGAGCGGGAGGGAGGAGGGCTGCGTGCCCCCAGCCCACCTCCCCCAGCAGCCCCAACCTCTTCGCAGCGAGACACAAGGTGCTCCCAAGCCACTCGGGTTGGGGTTTGCAGCTGCCGAGCCGGCCAAAAGATCACCCGAACACTCAGGCTCAGTGCCCCCAGTCTCCCTGGTGAGCAGCACTGCGCAGGAGCGCACGCAGGCTCACACACAATTCTTCTGGACGTCATTGCTAAACCACAGTAACAGAACAAGTCCTCGGCACTGGGCTGAGAAACCTCTCCTGTGACTAATGATATTCCTCTGAAAACTCTTCGGAGCAGCAATGACACAGACACCCCCTGACTCCTTTGCTCAAAGCTCCCCGTGAGAGACAGGCCACTCACCCTTGGGGGTGCTTGTCCAGCTCATGGAGAACTGTGTGGTCACAGTATTCAAAGACCAGATGCAGCCTCCGCTTCCTCCTGAACACTTCCAGCAGGTTCACCAGGTTGGGGTGTTTCAGTTGCTGCAACACACAGTGGATAGACTGGTTAGTTAATGGAAGGGGGAGTAAAAGTGAGAGGGACAGTGCTTTTACTCACAAGAGTCTCAATTCCTTGAGCTGAAACCTTTTATACAGGCACATCACAATGTGAAGAAGCAGCTTTGCTACAGCTCAGCCTGTGGCACAGTTATTTTAGGAACCGACCGTGGGCAACAAGTCAGCTGGGCTTCAGCAAATGCCTCTTAGAAAAGATGCTCATAGATAAAGAATTCATCACGGTGCCCACAGCTATTCCAGCAGCGCCTTTCATTGTACGTATCCAGCCTTGGACTGCACCACAATGAAAAGCAGCTCTCCTGGAGAACAGCTTAGAAAATCACACACGGTAAGAGCCTGTAGCAAGCAAACACACATTTAGGAGAAACCAAGAGCTCCTCTGATAAACAAAAGTAAAGCACGATGGACTCAGCTTTACCAGCTTCCTCTCAGAATCTAGACAGGTTAATTAGGAGAATTTTTATTGCTGCTTCTTCCTCTTCCTCTCAATCCACTTCATGTGCTTGTATCAGGGCTTCCTCTCCTGGGGAGCTCGGACAGCTTCTTACCACACATAAGGCCTGAGCACAGCAGGGCTATTCAAATGCATTTTGCAAGAGGTGAGGGTGGATGGACATTACTGGAGCTTCTCATTTCTTATTCTGCCCACATTTTCAGGGAGGGCTGGGAGAGGTCTTGAACCAAGGGGCACAACACAGTGTTCGGAAAAGGAAACAAAGGAAAGTCAGAGCCAACTCAGGAATATTACTTTTTTTTCAGAGGACTGATGACACCATCCCCTCTACTCCCAGGGACCTGTGTCCATGAGGGCTTTGCCTGACCAAGGTTTTACAACAAACGCATTTCTAAGCAAGGAGGCTGGAAAAGGCATAGCCTAGAAGTTACGTTAACCCCACCTTCTAATGTGCCTCTAAATCATCTGGAAAAGCCTGCAAAGGAGAAGGAAGCAGAGTCAGGACCAGAGAAAACTGTAAGGGGCCTCAACTGAGGAATGCAGCTGTCTCGGGAAGCACCTGGTTAATCCTGAGGTGAAAAATCACCAGAATCCACGACTTGAGCCCTGGGGTTAACTTGTGAGCTTGAGTAAAAGAGCAGGTCGGTACAAGACCCCCCCCTTACCTCACTGCCAGCCTGTCACGAGTAGGAGGGACATGGCAGGGGCCGTTTCAGTGCTCTGATGGGCACACTGTGGGACCCTTTGCAAAATGTAATTTTATTCCAGCATGTCACTGTAAAAGCTCCTTGTAAAGAGAGACTTTCCAGGGAGCTCGCTGCCTCTGGGGGACACTACACTGAACCCAAACTACACAGAGCCAATGTGCCAACTCACAGGGTCCCCGTTAGCGTGCAGAAGGTGGCTATTCCAGTCCTGCAGACTGGCAGCAAGGAGCTGATCTTTCTAAACAGCATCTCTTACCACATACATGTCTTGTTCCTGCAATCCTGCCCAGGCCATGTAAACCATCGGCCAGCATCAAAGACCTTCGCGCTCATCTGGATCAAACCTACGTGACAACCAAGACCTTCTGACCACCTCCTCAGTCCTCCACAGGGAGTATTTGTACGCCAAGTGCTTTCCCTGCCCAGCACAAGGTACCCAACGGTGTCAGCAGGGCTGTCAGAGTAACCTTCTCTGCCCTGGCCATGTCTCCTGACCTGGCGTGACACACGGGCTTCCTCTGCACACCCTCAGTTCCCACGGCAGGGCTGCTAGTGAAAGCATTAACCACAAGAGACAAGGCCTCTAACACCTCTCAAGCTTGGTATTTATCTAGCAGCATCTCCATTCTCCTCATTTCCTTATCCACTTTGTCAAAGATGGTCAGATACAGAGAACAGCCTGCAAGACTGATGAAAATCCCAGCAGTGATCGCGCTTCTCCCAGGTGCACACCACGCCACCTACCCTGCTGAGCATATCCACATCGAGCAAAGTACCTGCTTGCCACGTGCACATTAGGCAAAGCCCAGTCTGCCAGTTCAGACTCCACCACGGAAGTCAGACAGCACCGCGGCTCTGGTAGGGTCCCTTCCCTCACCAGTCAAGCAGCTCCTGATAGATTGTGTAAAGTGCATCCGTCCCTTTCCACGCACTCGGTGCGTTGGCAGATTATGTTCCCAGAGATCAGCGATAACAGATATCTGAGAGCAAGCTGGGCCTCCAGCAACTACGCTGGGTAACGGGCGCCCTGATTCCTCTGTTGCTCTCAGCAGATCTGCCTGCCAGCACTGCTGGGAGAGGAGACAATCTCCGCAGTGCTGAGATTCCACTTTCAGAGGCAGGTGAGGATGAAATAATCGCTCACTGATTGTAAAGCAAGAAGAAAGTTAAATCGACAATAAGCGACTGGGATCTCTGGAGAACCCCTGGCAGTTACAGGCTGGTTGTAGGAGTCAGCCTTTCACAGGAGCGGGCTGTGCCCCGGGGACAGTCTGTCCTGGCCATCCCCACGTGCACTCAGACCTGGGGTTTCTGGAGGGAGCGAGCTTGGGCTGGGAATCATGAGGTCTAGCTGAGCTGGGGACACCGTGAGGGGACACAGCTGTGTGAACAAGCTCTTGCTCACACAGCAGTGGGTTAACCTGCCTGCGTGGGACCTGGAGAGGGTCCCCTGGGAGCAGTCCTGCCATGGTGCCTCGCTCACAGCCAGCCTCCACACCAGGGGCTCTCCAGGCAGTCGGGTTCACTGGGCCAGTGTCTCTCGTGCAGGCAGACGTGCAAAGCCACCGTAAATCTGCCAGGGACACTAACAACGTCCCCGTCCGGCGGCGTGGTGCTTCAGAGCGCAGTTTCTAAGGCTGCTGGCAGCACCACGATGGGCTTCCCCTCCCTGTCCCCTGCTTGGGTGACAAAGTCATGTCACCTTCTGCATACAGACCAGCTGTCCCGCATGGGCTTTTCTCCAAAGTTATAAATGCTCCCGTGCTGAGATGACAGAGATACACAGCTTGTCATTGTACTTTCATCGGAGCTAAAAACTGTCTCAACCTCCATGTGAGAGTTGGGGAGACAACACCCTTCTGGAAACAGCAGGCTCTGACGGGTTTACACACAGACGTGCTCTGTATTTGTCTGTTTCCAGCCCTTTCTATGGAATCAGGATCACGCAGCATGTTCAAAGATTCTGCATACTGCCCCATTCTCCCACCCCAACTCCCTTGGCTCCCGGCCATAAAAAGCCCTTTGTCTACAAGGTATTTGCTGTGCAGAATAATAATTTATCAGGCCCTACATTTTTTACTGATGAGACACAATCTCATTCCATCTTTGACAAACAGTTGTTGCCTAAGCCAAGAAATACCTCAACAAACAAACAAACAAACTGTTACTATTTGCAGAAAGTTGAAAAGATAGTCAAGCAGGTCTGCACTTGTTAAAATCAACAGCACGCCGACACAGATCCTGCCGTGACTAGCTGCAGTGGTTTTGGTTTTGGACCCTTAAGAATGATGCATTTACCATCTGCCTTACAAGTGACTTCTGCAATGATTATTCTCCTTTTCAGATGTTTAACATCATTTACATCTTAATGTATCTCTGTTTACAAAAATGATACAGCTACATGTCATCTGTTTGCTTCAGACTGGAGGAAAAAATTAGGCTGATTCTCCCAAAAATCTAATTGAAAAATAAATATGCTTTTTTCCTAGATGATGGCTCTTTTAGGATGATATCCAGGCTCATTTTCCTCCTTTTGCAGTGGATAGAGAATCAGGACTTCATATTCCTTTGACAATAAACTGACACCACTTATTTATAATGCTCAATAAAAGACAAGCCAATAGCACAAAGAGATTTGGGGAAAAGAAATATCAGGGATACTGTAACCTGCTGAAATAATTGCATGTAATTGCAAATCTGAAAGTTACTTTGTTCCCAGCAAGCAAATTAAGCTAACTCGATGGAAGGGAACATTGACTGCAATGAGCATCAACTGCTGCTGTGCAAATACCAAAAGGCAGTGAAGTCTGGGAACATTATGCAGAAATCAAGAGACCAAGGGACTATGAATTTTGGGAAAGAAGTTTTAAATAAAACAGAACATCTTGCGCTGTGGATTTCTGTAGGGTTTTGTCAACTCCAAACTCCTAAGTCATTCACTGTCTACAAGAATGCATTGTGTCTGATCAGAACAGCACATTTCTTGTAAAATCAGTCCTATTGGAAGTCATTATTTTAAAATTTATAATAAATCAACATGCCATCAATATGGTTCTTTAGTCATTTAAATATTTTAAAGCTATGGCTCTTCTGTATGGAAAAGAGAAAGCTGAAGATGGGGAGATGATGAAGGTGTATGAAATCATGAGTATCCTGGAGAAAGTGAAAAGGGAACAATGCTCTCCACTTCTCGGAACACACAACTGAGGGTACTGTATGCCATCACCCAGCAGCAAGCTTGTAACAAATAAAAGGAAATATTTTCTCACACAACACATTCCTAAAGTTGTGGCACTCACTGCCTGAGGAAGCTATGGAGACCAGATGAATACACCGCTCCAAAAAAAGATGGGACAAACTCTCAGCAGTCTATGAATGTCTGCTAAGCATGAAGCAATGGATACAACCTCTGGTTCTAGGAACTTTGCCAAGAAGTTGGGTCTGTGAAAGGAAACCTTACCCCATATTCTCCCTCTTTCTCCTGGGTTTCTCCTCATTTCTGCATGCGTGATGGACCTGGGGTGTCTCACTGCAAATGTTCCCATGCTTTTATTTCATCAGGAAAATAAACACAGAGGCTGAATGAGTGACCCATTTCTATGTGAGAATGAGCTCTCACACAGAAGTTCAGAAAGGATTAGCAAAAACGAGGTGTTGCCATGGTTCACAGGTGCCAGTTCTTCAGCCGCTTCCACGTGTGAACACACCTCGGAGCCTACACAGCCCCCAGCATTCAACACACAGCTGGATCCCATCTGCACGTCAGGCTCCGACACTGCAGATCCCCCACAACCAGGGGCTCAGAAAGGGCATTTTAAGGAGGAGCTGGGACAGATTAATAAACTGGGAGCTAAACTAAGGGCACTGCACCCCATGGCTGTCCCCCTCCTTTTGCTATCTAGGATTACTTTTTGCTCATGAGCTTTGCATCAGCTCCAACAGTCCTCATGTCTGGGGGGAACCTCTCGGACACAGAGAGCTAAGGTCAGAGCTGTGCCTGTACCGGCCAGGACGTCTCTGACTCCATGGGGGACAGAGTCTGGGTCGATCCCTCTCTAAAGGGCACAGCGATGACTTTGATGATGCTCCTCTGCTCCCCATGCAGAAGTCTACAGACACCCAGCAGCTTGCTCTTTGCAGGGTCTCAGCTCCCACCTGCACCAACCCTCTTCGATGCTTGGCAGCCTGGGCTGTGGAGGACCACCTCCATCCCTAGCCAAACGTGCTGGACCTTCACTGACATCAGCTTTCTCCCACAGAAACCGACTGACTTGGGCACTTAACGCACCCCTCCTTCAGGCCCCATCTTCTCACTTCCCCCCTCACACCACCCCATCTCCTCATGGCTGCCTTTATGCCCTGTCTCATTGCTTCCCTCCTCACAGCACCCCATCTCCTTGCTTCTCCCCTCACGACGGCCCATCCCCTCATAGCTGTTATCATGCCCCATCTCCTCATGGCCGCCCTCATGCCCTGTCTCCTTGTTTTCCCCCTTATAATGCTCTGTCTCCTCAATTCCTTCCTCACGATGCTCCATCTCCTCATGGCTGCCCTCATGCCCTGTCTCCTTGTTTCCCCCCTTATGATGCCCCACCTCCTCATGGCTGCCCTCATGTCCTGTATCTCTGTTTCCCCCCTCACCATGCTCCATCTCCTCATGGCTGCCCTCATGCCCCGACTCCTCACTTCCTCCCTCACAACGCCCCATCCCCTCATAGCTGTTATCATGCCCCATCTCCTCATGGCTGCCCTCATGCCCTGTCTCCTTGTTTTCCCCCTTATAATGTTCTGTCTCCTCAATTCCTCCCTCACGACACCCCATCTCCTCATGGCCGCCCTCATGTCCTGTATCTCTGTTTCCCTCCTCACGACACCCCATCTCCTCATGGCTGCCCTCATGCCCTGTCTCCTTGTTTCCCCCCTTACGATGCCCCATCTCCTCACTTTCCCCCTCACGACCCCCCACCTCCTCATGGCCGCCCTCACGCCCTGTCTCCTCGTTTCCCCGCTTATAACGCCTCGTCTCCCCAGGGCTGCCCTCACGCCCCCTCTCCCGGCAGCTCCCTCAGGGCTCTCCCGAGGCCGCCTGGCCGCGGCGCCGGGGCTGGCAATGGCGGGCGGCAGCCGCCGGGGCGGGAGCGGTGCCGGGAGCGGCGGAGCCCCCCCAGGCCCGGGCACCCCCGGAGGCGGCGGCTGGAAAGCCAGCGGGGGGGCCGGGCGGCGCCCACCTTCAGCATGCGGATCTCCCGCAGGGCGATCTTCCTGATCACCGGGTCCTCCTCGGACTCCAGGAACTTCTTAATGGCCACGATCTGGCCGGTGTCCTTGTTGCGGCACCTGAAGACGACGCCGTAGGAGCCCTCCCCGACCTTCCCCAGCTTCTCGTACCGCTCCATGGCGCCGGGGCCGGGGGGCCCGCTCCGCCGCAGCTCCCCCCGCCTCCGAACGCCGCAGCAGCGGCCCCGCTCCCCCCGTTACCCCCGCGGCGCGGGCAGCCGCCTCGCCGCAGCTCCGGCGGGGCCGGGGCGGGCCCTCGGGGCGGGGGGGGGGGGGGGGGGGCTGTGGCCGGGGAGCGCCTTCCCTGGGGCGGAGGAACCGCTCCGGGGGGACCCCAAAACCATCCCCAGGGAGGGAGGGAGGGAGGGAGGGGGGCCCCACGCACCCCGCAGGGCGCTGAGCCCCGCTCCGGCTTCGTGCGGGGTGGCACCATTTTATCGTTGCGCCTCACCAGCGCTCTCTTTTTCCACGGGGGGGGTCTCTGTTTTTGTTTGGGTTTTATTTATTAATTATTGTATTTATTTATTTTTATTGGGACGGAAACACCTCCCCGGGAGTCGGCAGGGTTCAACCAGCACCCACAGCCCTTTCCTCCAGCACCCCGGAGGCCCGAGCGCTGCACAGGGTGAGGGGTGATGAATTTGGGAAACTCCGGCACGAGCATCGTTTTGAGTGCTGGCCCGCGGGCAGCCGTTCCTGCTCCGGTGTTGGTGAGGGGCCCGGGAGCCGTTGCCTTTCCCTGGAAGGTTTCCACCCTCTACACTGGAAGCACCTTAAGCATCTGCCACCTGATGAGCTTCCACCAAGAGCGAGATGCTTTCGGTGAGCGTTTCCATCTCTTACCTTCACATTATCTTTCCTTGTGCACCCATTTAGGTCCGTGGCTCTGTAGCCGTTTCCTTATACCCTAACGAAGGTGGTCTTTTGTGGTGGCAATTGCTTCTACTAGTAGATTTGAAGATCGGGGGTAGACACCCTACTCCATCTTATGCAGCCTCCCTCCCCAATCCCTTCCTGGGGTGCTTCCTGAATTGTACTCGGGACAAAAGATCCACTATTTATTTTTCTTCCTAAGCCATATCTATCAGGAAGGAGTTGTCTCCTCACATCCTAGCTGCCACATGTGCGCTTTTTGATTCTTTCTCTGCACGTATTAAAAATGAGAGGGTGAAGAGTATTCTTATGAAAAATGTGGGGTTTGGTAGAACTATCCCACCACGGAGATTTTCCCAGCTTTATCAAGACTCTCAGTGAAACTTCCTGACAAACACCGTGAGCCAATTCAACTCTCAACAGCATTTCTGAGGAAGGCTTCTGATGCAGCTTCTGATCCCCGAGACCTGCAGAGCTGCCTCAGAGAGGTCCAAGGATTATGCCACTGAGGAAACTCCTCAAATAAGAGGTCAATGGTAGGTCAGTCCACAATCCAAATTGCTTTCCCAGATAACATATACAGCCTGATGCTGAGATTCACCCACAGTGGGAACAATCTTCTGCAGAGGAGGAATATTTATCTGTATTTATTTATTTACCAGTAACTGGCGGTGGTGTTGTCCAAAAGCACTTTCACAAACCCCCTTTTCTCACTACCTCAGCACATCCCTGAAGGTCTGGGGTACAGACAGACCAAGGGCTCAACCTCTCACAGTACACAGGCAGCCAACGTGCGAGGGCAAGGCTTGTACAGCCCGCTCTAGATCCCGCTGAGACAGAGCTGTGCCCAGGGTGGATTGTCAAACGCTCACGTTCGTGTTTTCTTACTCCAGGCAACCCTCCTTCAGAGCCCGCCAGCCACCTTGCTCTCAAATGAACTGGGCACAAGGCAGCCAGTCTCTGGTTTTCAAGCCAGACGACTCGCGAGCGGCTCCGTGGTGGCTCCCGGGGACTGGCAGCAGGGCTGTGCTGGAGCGGAGGGCTGGGTAGCATGAAGCTGGAAAAGAGTGCCACTGCTCTTCTGATTTCTCCTTTCTATGTTATCCCCAGACCATCCCTTCGCTCCAGTCGAGCTGCTGTATGTGGGAGACGTCGTGTGGCTCCCAGGCAGGCTGTAGGACTGAGAAGAGCGGCCAGCCCTGGATCAGGCCCTTCCCACTGTCATAAAACCTGGAAAGCAGCATACTTTTTTTCGAGGTATGTCCGATAAGGTGTCATTCCCAGCAAGTCTACCACACCACATTTGGGTATCAAATAAAGCATAGTTTATTTGGCATAGACTGAAATGAACTGCAACAGAAATTTAAGTGGAACAAAGCCTAGTTACACAAACTGGAACGAGTGCAGTTAGAGTCTCAGTTACAATCTAATGACTAAACAAGGTAAAAAGTACATTTCAGAAAGTCTCCCAGTCTTGTCCTTTTCCTCCAGAGATGGAGTGGCTCACTGATGCGTTGTACCTTTCATCTTTTAAAGAGATGTCATCACCATTACAGTTGTATTTTTCAGTTACAATGAATTTGGTTAGGAAATCAGAGTAATCTACTGGCTGCTCTTCAAATACTGTTTATACTACAAAGAGCACTGGGAGCCTGGTTTAAGGCTTTCAAGTTGAATACATGAACCTTGTGCATCAAATAACTAATAGTTTGATAGCTGTCAGAGTAATGAGGGGGTGAGCAAGCTTTTGCTTTATAAACTCCAAAACCACACACTAGGCTTTTTCAACCCTGGTTGAAATGTCACAAAAAACATACAAAGATACAGACAATACCAGACAAACTTAAACAGTCTAACAAATACAAATTACACTAGTCAGAGTCACTGACACTGGCCGGTTCAGCTATAAAACATGCAAATCCGCTGTGCTATACTCTGCTAAGAGTAACAAGTGAGGTTTTACACTAGGAAACAGTATCTTGCAGATCATGCCAAAAATGCCACTCTCTATCAAACCAGACCAGACAAAGCATTTCAGAATATGCCATTAGAAACGCTTTAACTGCTAAAAAAGATGTTTGATTAAATGAGGACTTTTCTAGATTCATTTTTGACGACTCAGCAAATCACCAGTCATTCATGTCATTCAAAGAAAATACTTTCAGTTCATTACTTTTGCATGACAGTGTCATGACCTAACAGTTATTTACTCCAGTTACTCCCCATAAATATTCATATTTTATTTACAGATTTCTCTAGTCTTTTAGAGATCTTTAAGTGTTTTCAAAGATGATGCCAAAATTATGTTTGCAGTGAATGAGGTAAGTTCGGTGAAAGCGTTTGCTCTACAAAATCTACACCTGGTGCTTCACTTTGCCTTCATTTCATTTTAAAGTCTTTGTCAGCAAGGAGTTATATCATTTGAGGGTTAATCACCGATCACTGTTGACTATGCAGAAGTAATTTCAGTATTAGAGAACTCGATTTCTTTAAAACACAAAAATTACATGTCCCGCTTTTAACACCGCTGATCCAATTACAGCTGACAACTCAAAAGGTTTTCAGCACACTGTTTGTGGACTGATTTTTAAGTTTTACCTGTACTCTTACTATTTATTAAACTCCGACACAGTTTCAGAACTGAAAAGTCTGGCTTGATTTAACTACCAAGTCAATAACAAGAATTAGTTTTGAATGACGATGCTAAGTGGATAAAATGCTAAATTGTGTGCAGGTCTATTTTTCCTCCCAGACCTTCAGAACAACACAGAACTCCCGCTGTACCTAGTAACAGACATTACTGAGTCATCACGTGTGCCGAGGCCGAGTTAATTCCGTCAATGTTAAATTATGAATCACGTAGCCTGATGCCTAAGCAGACAACCCAGCGCCCCATCCCTCAGGTTGCGAGTTAAAGATCAAACCGCTCCGGCTCCGCTGTGTCAGCAGAGTCGTCAGGCAGGCCAAGCCCTTGTAACACACTTACCTTTACTGCTTTATTCAAATGACCTGTGAAGCTTCTAACCCCTCTTTCCTAGGGTAGCAGATCACAGACACCAAACAGGCAGCAGTATGCTGTAGGATTTCATTTAAAAACCCTCAATTCGAATGTTTATGAACTGCCGCTGTATCTGCCTATGGACCGTGTTTACTTACATCAAAGCTAGCAGGTTAATGTGAGGTAGTAAAACCAGATGCTATCCTGTAGTCAGTCTATATTTATATTTAATGGTACCTCAAGAATTCTAATTAAGGAGGAAGACAAAAGGAACCGGTGTGACTCTTTAATGCAGAAATGAGAAAGAAAAATGCAGGTGACAAAATAGGGAAAGGGAAAAAGTGATCGAAAGCTTTAACATACAATACTGGTTCTTATCATATTTATTTATACTACGCAGCTGGGGAAACAACCATTTCCAAATGACTGTCTGTCGTTGGATAGCTGTACAAATAAAAAAACCTCATAAGCCCAGTTATCGCTATAGGCTCCCCTCTGGAATAGTATAAATAAACTATACGTCATGGGCAGTTTGATACGTGATACTTTCACTCATTAAGGATGATGACCGGGTACAATTTCCATTTCACATCACAAGGCTTATCCCTAATTTATGAAAATAAAGCATATATATTTTGTACATTTTTATATATATATAAATATATATATATATAAAAAATACACACTGCCGGTCAACTTAACACACATGCACACATGCACACATACACATATGTATATTGTACACACCCACCCAGTAGCAACATGTCTGCTATCAATATTATATTTTGCGTACACACCCCCTACATCTAGTAGTAAATAAGAAAATCCCTTTTATAGCAATTCTGCAGGCAAAAAAAAAAAAAAATCAATACAAAATATTTTGTTGTACAAAACTGCATTTTTACAAGATCAACCAACGTTGTAACATACCCCTCAATAATGCACTACATCCCTACAAGAAAAAAAAGAATAATCAAATCTTTATACAGTCATAAAAAAAAAAAAATTGTAAGCTGCTCTGCAACCTTCCTTTGCTAAAAGTTAGATACATTACACCATTCTAGCAGCAGATTAATAAATAAGGATTAAATAGTCTATTATACAAAGCCATACTGAATGGCAGATTTAAAACCAAAAAGCTTTGCAGATACTTTCACTTCCTACACAAATCTTTTTTATTAAGAATAAGACTCAGTATAAAACAGGGAAACAGCCAGCACTATACCTATATCTACAGAATGTAAGGAAAATCCAAGGGAAGTAAAATATTTAACAGTTTATGGCACCTTTACCGCATAACATTTTTTTAAAGGCTCTGTTTCCCTATAACTAACGAGTAAAGGGCTATTTATCTCATAGCTTTTATTAAGCAAACTCGATAT